AAAGAGGTCACCTGCATCCTTTTTGACTCTCCCAAAGCCCCCCAACTACACTCACACATGCACACGCACACGCACACACACACACACACACACACACACACACACACACACACACTCCTACCCCGAGGAATGGACGCTGGACATAGTGCCCCTCTCCACAACAAGCATTCATTTTAGCTATTTCAGTCTAGTATATAAGTTACTTTGTGTGTACAGTATATATATACAGTATATATATCTTGCTAGTTGTGTACTTTTGTAATTTATGTGGGATTTCTGTCAAATGTTGCTTCAACTCCCTTTGTAAATTGAAATCTGTCTCTTTCAAACCTATTCTCAGGAAAAGAAATAAAGACAGTGGATAGTATTTTTGGTTAAGCCTGTGTTCCTTCAGTTCTGTGTGCTCTGTGAGGTTCTGAGAAACCAGCCGCCTAAGACTTGCACTATAGCCCCTTGCGTGCGTCAATCAATCAATCACATTTTATTTATATAGCCCAATATCACAAATTACAATTAGTCTCAGAGGGCTTCACAGTGTGTACAGGTACGACATCCTCTGTCCTTAGACCCTTGCAGCGCTCAAGGAAAAACTCCCCAAAACAGACCCCACAATTAACAGTGGAAAGTAGGAAGAAACCTCTGTGAGAGCAACAGAAGAGGGATCCCTCTCCCAGGACGGACAGACGTGCAATAGGTGTCGTGTGTACAGATGAAAAAGGCAATACAATTACAGCGATTAAAAAAAGGATGGAAAAATTAAATGAAAGCGTCAATGTATATAAAAAAGATGCCGTTGACTCATCCTGTAGACTCATCTGGTCCTATCTCTATTGTGTTGTCATAGAAAGGCGAGGCAGGGCACTATAGGGTCCCCCCCCCCCCCCTAAATTCACTAGAAGTCATCATTTAAGGGGTTATTTTTAAAACTTTTCTTCTGGGGGGAGCATACCCCCCCAGACCCCCCTATTATGGCGCGTTTCCACTACAGCGAGGAGCACGGTTTAAGAGGGCTGTGACGTCAGCGGCCCGTTTTTGGTTGCGTTTCCACTTGGCCTAGTACCGGCCGGCGGGTCCTAATTCACAGTTTTTCTGGCCTCATAAAATGGTGGGTCTAGGGCCAGAGACAACGAGGCTGAGTCGGGCTGAGTATGCTAAACTAGAGAGAGCATCGCTGGCAAGGGGGCTACAACTACAACAAGATGGACATATTTGACCGTGATTTAATTGTAATAGACGTTTCAAAATGATGCCGAAGTAACAACATACTGATACCGGTTAGTAAAAACCAGGAATTAATGCTTTGACAAGTCTGCAGACAGACGGCAGGCGAAAAACCTTTTAAAATGCTTGTTTTCTAAATGGAGATTGGCTAAGCTAACGCAGTGCTCCGACCGTCCACACTCACAACAACGGCCTATACAGACATAAATAAAGCAGCGACTGTATTCGCCATGACACAGACAGTCTGTGGTTTGTACTTGTTTAACTTTTGTCTAGTTTCTGAACATATATGAGGAGCTGTGAGCTCTGAGTGCTAACAGCTAACGGCTGTGTTGTTTTTCTGGGGTTCTCATTGAAGATGACGTCACGGCTCCGCCTACACTGCGTTACTATAGATACTACCCCAGTTCCTAAACTGTAATGGAAATGCGCCATAAAGTGAGCCAGTCCTAACGAGGCCTAGCCATACCGAGCGAGGCCGTGTAGTGGAAATGCGCCATTAGTACTCGGTCACTGTTCGCTTTGTGAGAGGGTTTGAAGGTCTAATTTCTAATGATTGATAGTTACACATACTTGTGGTATGTATTAGTTTTGTTTGCCCCTGGTACGTAAAAAGGATAATAATAGCGTTTTTTTTTTATTATACTGAGTTATTCTTCTTGTCAGGAACCGCTACTATTCGTTTGTTTTATGGATTTGGGCCGGTCTGGGTCTAAATGCCAGGGCCGATTTGCTGTCCCAGTCCAGCCCTGGCCGTAACTCAGAGAAGTTGACGCAGCATCAGCGCGCTAAGAGCTTTTACGCACCGCCTGCACTGTGTTTACCTTCATTCAAACAGCTAAAGAGTGACCGCAGGCTGCTACGTTTTAACCAGACACACCTCTACACACATCGAACTGCCCGATTACTCCCCCTTTCATTAGTTTTATGAAGGAGATGTCCGGTCACCAAGGGCATGATGTGTGTGTGTGTGTGTGTGTGTGTGTGTGTGTGTGTGTGTGTGTGTGTGTGTGTGTGTGTGTGTGTGTGTGTGTGTGTGTGTGTGTGTGTGTGTGTGTGTGTGTGTGTGTGTGTGTGTGTGCGCGCTCTGCTCAGCTCAGCTCCGCTCTGTGTGTGTGTGTTCTGAGTGTTTATTTCCCTATAAAACAGCTGCGGGCAGCAGGTACTCTGATGCCCCTTTCACACCGGCGCTTTTCCAGCTCCGGCTCGGAGCTGGAAAAGCGCCGGTTTTTCCTCTTCACACCGCAGCGGCGCCGCGTCATAGCTCCGGAATGCAGTTCACTTCCAGCTCCAAAAAATTGTCGGTCTAGAGCAGTGGCGTCGCCTGGGGTAGGCATCCGGGGCTTTAGCCCCGGATGTTTTTTCTTTAGCCCCGGACAAATTCTCCCTCAATATAATACATTAACCGTACTTCTTTACCTATAGGACGGTAGATTTGTAATTTCCCGTGTTCAGTGAATGCAACATAGGCAAGCCAAGACACCACCAGACCAATCAGAGAGTTGCATGGAAATAAACGTGTTTTATTGGCTGACAGGTACGTACCTCTCCTCTGTGACAATGTTTAAACTTTAAACTGTCAGCCCCGGACGCGGAGATTCTGAAGATGGACATTAGACATGTTTTCAATAAAAAAGACGGCAATACTCAAGTGGTGGCTCACACAACAACCCCAGAGCCACCACCTGAGCCAGGTGAACAAGGTATGTACATGTCAGTAAACTTACAAGTTATGCGAACATGTAAGCAAAGCATAAATTACAGCTACGTTGACGTTACTTTGAATCGCACGGGTAATCTAAACCGTTAGCAAGTAGCTATAGCGAGCCAGATATATTAAATAAACACTTTGTCATACAATATAAATGTTGTGTTTTTTAGCGTTACCTGGTGATTTCAAAGAAAGCTCTCTGGGAAATGTTGACTTACTGTTCGACAGGAAGCTAGAAGCTACCTTACAGTACACAGTTGATCCTGAGTCCTGTCAGTTAAAGTGTTTCATAGTTAGCTTAGCTAAGCATCAAACTAGCACTGAAATATATGGATGTTATGTGACAGTATTTCTGAGAAAAGTCAGTTTAAATGGTGGCCTAGTTGCCACTGCTTTACTGTCGACAGCACGTTTGAACGTATTTGCAGCAGTAAATGTGGCTGTTTGGCCACTGACGTTGCCATAACACCTGAATTTAAATGTGCAACCTCTTTTTGTGACAGATTTTTGCATGAAATTATAATTCTGATTGATATTTCCTATTGATAGCTAGTTTCTATGTGAACATTATGAGATGGACAGCCAGCTAACAAGCTTTTTATATACAAAGATTTCAGATCAAAGCTAATCCAGTAGGGCTCCTGAAAGGGGACAAGGGACACTATGCTCCCAAATATTAAGCCTCGACCCCCATCTTAAAATTGATATGATCAAAAAATCTGCATTGTCGGAGGCCTTTTTTCCTCATTATCATGTCAAATTGTACAGCTTTCCTTAGTTTTGAATGCAGAAAGATGACTATTCGAGTATTACGTGAAAATGACTATATTTAAGTGTTAAGTAAATATATTAAGTGAATTACTCAAACTGCATTTGTATAGGAATGATTCTCTCCTATTGGCAGATAACTACTAACAGTGATATCTACTGTACAAGAGGTTTCCAATGTCAATTTAACTATTTTCAATTGGTTAGTATTATATTTTGTGACAGTGTGGTGACACTCATTTTAATGAAGACAAATTTGTGTATCTTGAAATTCATTTATTTGACAGAGCTGGAAACTGATTTTAAATACTTGTTTGTGTTTACCTACACAGTCATCACAGATGAGCCAAAAATAGTAGAGGATGAAGAAAGGAGAACAGGAGAAAGGGACACACAAGAAGGAGATACAACAGATAAGAACAACAATGAACAGGAACATCAGAACAGACAAGAGTCAATGGGTAACTGGGGAACTGATTTAGGGACTGCAGATACAGGGCCAAGGCAAGTGAGACATCACTGTTTTCCATCCGGCATGTTTGGCCAGCAAAAGAGATCATTTCAACCAAGTTGGTTTGATACTTTTAAATGGGTTGAATATTCTACCACTGCCAATGCAGCATTCTGCTTTAGTTGTAGACTATATGGCAAACCAAAGCAATCAAGGGATCAAAGGGACACCCTCACCACCTCAGGATACACAAACTGGAAGCGTGCATTGGATTCTTTTCGAGAACATGAAAATTCAAACATACACAAGGCTCTTCTTTCCAGTTCTCGACAGAATGCTGGAGGAGCTTCAAAACAGGTTTTCTGGAGTTGGGGAAAAAATATTAATTGGCAAACAGGCATGTCACCCTCCATGGGGAGGTCGTCGACCGATTTGCGAAGGTCAAACCAAGGCGATTTAGCCTAACACTTCCACCTACAAAACAATAAAGAGTGTGAAGACAGCGAGTGATGATGGGGAGAAAAAACGAAGCAAATGAAAGGTAATGTGATGAAGGAAGCAGCAAGTGAGGAAGGAAGCAAGTGATGAGGGATTATTATTTCCTCCTTCCATCCCTTTTTTCAGTTTAATCTCATTACTAACAACTTCTAATAATTTGACATAGTTTATGATTTAATTGGAAAATCAAGTGTTTTTAAATAATAAACCTGTTTCTGATTCTTTGATTTTTTTTGACATATGGGTGTTGAGAGATGTATAGATCTCTTAATGTTGCTCTCAAAGTGCACCAGATTGATGCTTTTAACTTCAATATTTAAAAAAAATCTTCCTGGGGGAGTTCCCCCCAAAAATAGTACTTTATGTATGTTGCTTATGTAACTCCGGTGTAGTGTCCCCTCGGCAACAGATCACTCACAGTTGGTGATTACTTTCCTGCATTTCAATGGACAGCATATTGACACGTGAGCTTCATTGCTTAAGAGATCCTCACATGCCATCTCTTTAAAAAAATAAGTGTCCAGTCAACAACAAAACATCAGTGATCGTATAGTGGTAGTATATTTTTCATAAGCAATGTGAAACATTAAACTTAAAAAAACTGGTGTACAAAACTCACATACCTGCGTTGATCTCCTGGAGTGTCTCTACTCTTTCTTCTCCACCATTAGAGATTGCAAACATTTCAGAAACAGCTAGAGGTAGGGGACAAATAACTTGTTCGCTGGGCATGTCAAAAACCTCCCTGCTTTGATCAAGACTTTAGGGAGCCTTTCAGCCCCTCTGGCAAAGGGGCTGGAAAGCAAGTTTTGCAAATGCAGTACCATCTACATGCTTGTCCTGTTCCAGACACTGCTCTCAACCACTCAGGGCCTGCACAAATACCTGCAGAAAGAAACAATTGACTTGGTGCAGGCAGTAAATTACAAAACAGCAGTTGAGAACACACTGAAAAGTTACAGAAGTGACGAGAAAGCAAGACCAAGGCCCTGTGCAATGATCTTGATATTCCCGAAACTGTGACACAGAGGAAGAAGCGTAGAAACATGGAAGACTTTGTAGTCGAGGCATCGTGTGGAGCAGCTCTCCCATTAGCTTATTAGCTCAGATTAGCTATTGATGATCACGTTGATAAATCATATAAAACCAATAGTAGTGATGACGAGATGAAGCCGAGGCTTCGGAGCGTGTGTCGAGTAATCGCCGAAGCTTTCTGTGAAGCCTGTGTCGAGGCTTGTATCATTTGGGGGCCAGTGACGTCATCGATGACAAACGAAGCCTCGTTTGTCGATACCACGTGACTGCTTCAGGAAGCGATTCAGATCTTGGCGCGAGCTTCTGACAGATAAAAAGCCATGGGATTCGATTCAAGATGTGTGATCCTTGTGAGAGGAAAACACTTGTCGTTTTCCAGTTTTCGAACATATATTGCTTCTTTTGTCTTTATAGAAGGCAGCAGACATTTACATTTATTTATGTATAGATGTAACAACAAGATACTATATTGACACATTGTTTTTATTATTATATACAGTCATTTTAAAACACTTACTGGTGTAAAATTCTGTTCATACAGGATGACAAATACATTTGACATCTTTTACCTTTTTGTATCATTATTTCCAGTATTTTTAGTATGTCAAAGATTACAAATAATATGTGGCTGTTTTACACCTGTTCACCAACAGGGGGTCTTGTGAGCACATGAAGCCCATGATGAAGCTTCATGAGATGAACCTTTTAGCGAACCGATTTGCTGGAAAGCTTCAAAGCTTCATGAGGCTTCATCTCGTCATCACTAACCAATAGCCAAACACACAAAAAACATGCTGCTGTGTGAGCATTAAACGATTAACATTAAACTAAACAAACACAACAAAACGTTATAGTCCTTATAAAATAAAAACATACATTTTGTCCACCAAAATAATACAGGCACCTTACCCTCGAGAGATCCTCACATGTTATGAGAATCTCCCACAATCCATTGCCGTAACAAAGCTAATGCAGGCACACGTTTGTTTGTGACACCAGATGGCGTAATTCTTCTTCTTTTATTTAAAGGGCCCATGTCATGGCCATTTCCACTGATCATAATTACATTGTTGAGGTATACTAAAATAGATTTATACTGTGCAATTTTCCAAACTCACATTGGTTTCGCATACAGCATCTCTGTCAAGCATGTGTATTCAGCAGTATTCACTTTCTCCACTAAACGACTCGTTGGAGCTCTTGCCCCCCCCTCCCTGTGAGCCTAGTGTGCTCCGATTGGTCAGCTCGGCCACTCGTTCTGATTAGTCAACCACCAGAGAGGCTGCGCCCATGTCAGTGCTTTTCCCGGCTGCTCTCAGCGTAACATCAGTCTTATCATGGCGTCGGTACAGCGGTATATTTTATATACATATATATTTTTAACTGTTGTTATAGAAGAGTGTGACGGCCCCAGGGCCTTTGTCTTACGATGGGGTGGAGCTGAAGAAGCTAATCAGCACGATCACGGACACCTCCGGACACTACGGCCCCAGTCTCTCTCCAAAGCGGCTGCAGGAAGACTAACTCTGCGATCCTCTCAACCACCTATCTTTGCATTTACCACAATAAATGTGCCGTGGTTTTGTAAACTCGTGTATGTCTCCTTGTCTTTCCGTTGTGGCCTACGAGCCGCTCATAACAAAGAGTAAGTTATTTTTACCCGTTATAAACTACTACTGTTTGATGAGAAATCAAATCATGGTTTGCTATATATGAATTCAGGGAAGAAAGGATAGGCCTACTAAGTATTTCCATTAAACTTTATTTTTAGAAATGTACAAAATGAACATAAATATACATATATACACGGTATATCATCCATTCCTCCTCCTCTTGCCTGCGCACAGCCGGTGCGGTGCGGTGCCTTTTAGCACGACGCCTCAGTAGTAGTAGAATCCCTTCCCCGTCATGGATTGTCCGCCAGGATCTGGCTGGACGAAATCAAATGCAAATCACAAAATATTAGAGAAACTTAGTTGTTTTAGATTCGTTAGTAGTAGTTGTGTAATGAACAGCTTGCCTGCTAATATGCTAACCTAGCTTTGTTTACCTTGGTAGCTAACACGATATGAACGTTAGCTTGGAGGAAAGGCAACTATAATGCAGTGTAATAAAACTACTATGAACAAAAGCTAGTGGTTCATATTAGGCTAGCAATAACGTGTTTATAATTGCAATCGTATACGGGTATTCTGCTACCATACAATGTAACTTGCATGAATACATTGTTTTGCGCTAGCATACAGCTAGCCTCGTTAGCTACATGCAGTATATGTACGGTCACAATGTACGGTAAACCGGAGTATACTGTATGAGTATTCCGTGTGTGTGACTGCAGACATTCTCCTGCCATGACAAACATGTAAGGCCATCTGCTGACATTGTAGTTGATATATTTAAACGCTAGCAACGTAGCATCACAAAAATGTTTTTCTGACCAAAACTAGCTCAAGCTCCGTGTGTTAGATCGCTACGCCAGCTATAATGTAATTACGTTTCGCGACTGACCGGCAAATCACCCGCAGTATACTGTCAATAGGTATTTTGTGTGTGAATGCAGTAGTGATGGGAATTCCGGCTCTTCTTGGTGAGCCGGATCATTTGGCTGGGCTCACCAAGAAGAGCCGGCTCTTTCGGCTCCCAAACGGCTCTTCAGTTTACCACATATTATACCTTTTATAATTCAATCAAATGTAGCCTTGTTTTGACTAATGATTTATATGTGTACACATATCACTTAAATTATTCAATACATCCTTTGTACGGAAGTATTCAAAAGTAAAAATGACATGTTTAATATCAATTATTTGCTGTGGCCAATTGTTTTCATTGCATTTACAGACCCTTGTATCTCTCTGATACCACCCAATGAATGCACAGACTTGCTTGTCGAACCACGCTACACAAAGCAGATAGCAACACCTATAACAAAACCCGAGGTGACAGGGCTTTCAGTGTTGCAGCTCCTAGACTGTGGAACAGCCTCCCAGTACATATCCGGACTGCTGAGTCTATTGAACTTTTTAAATCTCAGCTAAAAACTCACCTCTTTGCACTGGCTTTTAATACTAGTTGAACATTACATTTTTACATTTGTATGTGTTTTTTAAAAAATATTTTTCTAGTTATTGTGCTTTTTATCATGTTTTTAATTATTGTTTTATTATTGTACTCCCATTGTGTTATTTAATATGTATTGCCTGTACAGCACTTTGGTCAACTGAAGGTTGTTTTAAATGTGCTATATAAATAAATAAAGATTGAGATTGAGATAAAAACTTAAGCATAGACATTTTAAAAAATGGGCTACTCTATCGACATTTTAAAATTATATTTAAAGAAAAGGCCCTGACTAAACAGCAGGGCTCTATTTCAGTATTAACTATAGAAAAAAAGACAGCAACAGCTGACATCAAATCTTTGCCGAGCCCAAGGATAATCATAAATAAATAACATAGTGAAAATAAATATATTGCAATGCTCAGTACAGCAGCATCCAACCGTCTCTAATCATAAAAAAACATAATAAAAATAAATGTATTGCAATGCTCAAAACAGCAGCATCCAACAGTCTCTAATCCTTGGATATTACATGTCACTGCATGCATGCACGGAGCAGCTGTAGCGCGGAGATCATCATATCATTCTGTCTTGTATTACTTAACAACAACAAAATAACAAAAAAAAAACGGCTCGTTCGCGGGCGCGAGCCGGCTCCCGTCGTTCACTTAAAAGAGCCGGCTCTTTGAGCCGGCTCGTTCGCGACCGACACATCACTAGAATGCAGACATTCTCCTGCTATGAGATACATGTATGCAAGGCCATCTGCTGATATTAGAGTTGATATATGGAAACTCTAGCAACTTAGTTAGCACAGTTAGCACTGTGTCAATGGCTTAGCAGTCCAACACAGTTTACACATTTAAACAGTCTTGTTTGATAAATACACAAATAACAATGCAAACTTACAGGTTGTATACCCAGATCTTCCCCTGCTCCAAACGGTCCAAACAAGCTGTGCATATCCGGCCTCAAACTGGGCAATGTTTTTGGAAGCTTTCGTCTGTGAAATGCCGGTTCATCGAACCTCTGGAGGAGGAACACGCCGCTGCTGGTGTGGCCATAGCTCTTCGGGATTGGTCCATTTCGTTCCGGGTACCGCATGACATCAGGCGGTACCCGGAAGAATCAAATGGGCAGTGACGTATCTCCAACGAGGCGTTTTGGGGAGGTATTTTCTGTGTTAGAGTTTTACTCGCTACAGGGTGTACTTTGAGGGTTTTGACTCTGCACACCGTTTACATGCATAAAAACCTTCATAACACACAAGGGGACGGGTAATAACCGGAAAAGCATGACATGGGAGCTTTAATGGCGAATCGCTTCCACTTGGAGCATATATCGCCACCTCTGGCGTAACCCGAATTAATTCTCCGATTTAACAAGGATTTTATACCAACCTTTATAACTCTGTACACACACGACACACCTATATGTCGTGAGCTGATTATCGAGCCTTCATTGTAACAGATCTGGTAGGCCACCACGTTATTCTTTATTTTCTACGTCTTTATATGGAGAAGATATTACTTTTTTCTCCGTCATGTTGTTTCCATAGCAACAACAACTTCCTGTCAACAGCCAACGAAAAGTAACAAAAAACACTGTAATATCCTTTTCAGTTTCACAGAACACAAATTGGGTTATTTACATAATGTTTACAGTACTGTTTATTGTTATTTTGTAATATTCTTTGCGGAATTTGGCCATGTAAAATGTCCTATTGGGTTGCTGTACAGCCAATGCGTGACGTCATTGGTAAGCGGCGTAACGAACCCCGAACAGATTCTGGTACCTACACCGCCACTGTGGGCTCAGCCCCGAATGTTTCCAGGTCCAGGCGACGCCCCTGGTCTAGAGGCAAGAGCTTCGGAGCTATGACGCGGCATCGCTTACGTCTCTCTTACGTTGAGGCGTGCAGGAAACTAAACCCACCTCCCCTGAACATGGGTCGACTGAAGAGTCTCGTCATGCCTGCCTACAAGCAGTAGCGCTGAGCAAAGTGACTAGAAGGCAACCACACACTTATTAAAAAAAAACACACTTTAGAAAGTCAGGCAACACTAACCAGGCTTCGTGTGATTCTGTTTATTTGTACCTTACTTTGACCATCCGTTCGCTGTTATTGGTCATTGTGGAGAGCAGGCAGACGTTTTGTTTGTTATTATAGCAGCTATCGGATGGAATCAATACATGGGCTGCACAGGTTGTCATGTCCGACTATCACAAGTAGAATCATAATGAAAAATACGCCGGTAAAATGTGCCTGTAGAACACGGCTTAGCAAGTAGTCAGTTTAGCTTCGGTTGCTATGCTAACATCACCCATGTTATACCAGAGAAACTTTCATAACAGCGTTGTGATGCCAAACAGCGTCAATTCAGACTGACACACATTCACTTAAGGGGAACTGGGGATATGTATCAGCTGCTTGTGTGACAGTCAGACAGTGAATACTTTAGAGCGGCCGCTGCCATGTGAGCTAACCCGGAGCTAACGGGAGAATAAACTCCCGTGGAAGAGCAGCCTGCAGCGGTCGGTAAATGCCGCTGAAACACATTAATAAACAATGAACCACGGCACTCTGGAGAAAAGTATAAGGTTGGAGAAGTCGTTATTTAATTTAATCTGGCTTCGTATGATTAAAAGCAACACGATCATCGACCCGACACAGTCCCCCCCCCGTTGTTGTGAGCTCCGTTGGGGAGAAAATCAGCGATGTAAACGGTGACGTCATGACGCAGCAGCGGCAGCTGGGCGGTGTGGGAGCTGAAAAGGGAAACCGTGTGAAAGCCGCATGATGAGAGTCACGGACATTAATTCATAGATCAAAGCAGACTGGTTTACAGACTCTCCTGTTTTGCCAATCCGGTGCTTAAACAAATAGCTCTACACCCCTGGCCGAAATGTCCTTAAAATTAAGTCTGAGTTCGAAATATA